TTCCCAACTATTGGCTACAAGAATCTTGATCTGCCATTATGCTCTATTAAGGCCACCCTTTGTGAGGGCTTAAGTTCCCATATATTTTCTCACTACCTCCAACCATGCCCTTTTGGGCCTACCTTTTGCCCTTTTTGAGCCTTCCATTTGAACTAACTCTCTCCTCTTAATAGGTGCTGTAGTGGGTCTACGCTACACATGGCTAACCCACCTAAGTCGACTCTCTCTCTTCTTATCACCTATTGGTGCCACACCTAAATTTTCATGAATGTATTCATTTCGGATTTTATCCCTTCTTGTCTTGCTGCTCATCCATCTCAACATCCTCATCTCGACTATACTCATTCTATGGTTCTATTGTTTTTTGACCAACCAACATTCCGCCCCATAGCGCAAAGCTGGTCTCGCAGCTGTCCTATAGAACTTACCCTTCAACTTCATTGGTATGTGACGATCACATAAAATTTTGGTTCCACATCTTCACTTCGCCCACCTAGCTCTAATTCTATGTGCAACATCTTCCTCAATCTCTCTATTTTCTTGGATTATCAGCCCAAGATATCGAAAGTGCGTTTTTTTTGGTATTTAATGGTCTTCAATCTTAACTACTTCCTCTTCTTTACGTATTATTACTAAACTTACATTCTATATACCCAGTCTTAGTCCAGCTAATTTTAAAGCCTTTAGATTCTAGAGCATCTCTCCAAAGTTCTGACTTTGTGTTGACGTCGTTTCGGGTCTCATCGACTAAAACTATATCCATCTGCAAATAACAGGGTACTTCATCTTGTAGGTGCCTAGTTAAGTCGTCTATAACTAAGCCAAAGAGGGCTTGATGCTGACCCTGATGTAGACTTATTGTCATTGAAAACTCACTCGTCTCTCCACTAGTTATTCGTACATTAGTCAATGCCCCATCATATATATCTCTCACCAAAATCGATGTAGTGTTTGGAGATTTTTCAACACCCACCAAATCAAATCTCGAGGTACTCTATCATAAGCTTTCTCTAGATCAATATAGATCATGTGGAGGTCTTTTTCCTTCACCCTAAACTTCTCAATCAGTTTCCTAAGTCAGAAAATAGCCTCGGTTGTTGCCCTCCCTAGTATAAAACCGAATTGTTTTTTTGATACACTCGTTTCATACTTTAGTCGTTGCTCAATCACTTTCTCACAAAGGTTCATAGTGTGGCTTGTAAGTTTGATCTCTCGATAGTTCGCACAATTTTGTATGTCTCCTTTGTTCTTATAAATAGGTACCACAATACTTTTCCTCCATTCATCTGACATTTTCTTTGTTCTCAACACCTTGTTGAATAGCTTGATTAGTCAGCCAATGCCAATTTCCCTCATGCACTTCCAAACCTCTATCAGGATACCATGTGGTCTTAAAGTCTTTCCTATTTTCATCCTTTTCAAAGCTTATTTCACTTCCAATATCCTAATTCTACAAATGTATCTATGATCTCCACCCTCATTTATGCCAACGTTTCCTTCTACTGTTATGTTTATGTTGTGTTCATCATTTAATAGTTTTTGAAAATAAACTCTTCACCTTTTGTTGACCTCATCATCCTTCACCAAGAGCTTTTGATCGTCACAAATAAATCAATAAAAGGTATGAGTTACACAGTTTTAAGGCTTGAAAGGCCACTTAAGCCCAACATCATCAATGATGTAAAGCTCACCCTCGTCCAAAACTTCGTAAGAAAAAGTGAATATCTTGTGACTTGCCTAGCTGGTTGACTTGCCTGTAGTATTGTCGCATTTGACATGGCTGATTCACAATTCTTCATAACCTCAATGTTGAAACCTTTGACCTATAAATTTTTTGTTTCCTGGCATATCTTCAATGACATTCTCTACTTCATCCACGTGTTTCCATTTCTGGTTAGAAGAAATAATTTGCACTTATAAGACATAACTTGCACTTTTGCCATTATCTCTTTATGGCTCGTCCTCGTGTGCCTGTCTTGGGTGTCCTTGTCTGTGCTTCTGTATGGTGTCCAATTAGGAGCTATGTTGTACAAGACACTTAAAATATGGTTATGATAGGTTTCCAATACCTAGACGAATGGGTAAAAATGTAAAACCAATGGATATGTCTTAGTTCATGAAATGTTTACCTGCAACATACACATGGACATCAGGTCACAATTGAAGGGCTGGGTTCTGGAATACCGTCCAATATTGCTCGGTCAGTGATGAAGGATTAAGTCCCTTAACTCATTCTTTTTTTGATTAGATATCTCAACACTTTCCCAAAAAAAGAAAAAAAGGAAAAAACATTGATCCTAATATCATTAGGCATCACCAACTATGTAGTTTTATGCGCAAGGGATTAGGTGATGTTGGTCATCAAAAGGATTTGGCTCATCAATGTAAGCTTTTTTTTTTGTTTCTTTTGTATTTGGATGCACGACTCTTGGTCGCTAGTTTGGTATTCCTGGGCTTTGCTTGTGAACCAGTGATTTCCTCGTCTCTTTCTAGCCTCAAATGCATTGATGTCTCTTGTTGTCGTTGTGTTCCTTTGTCTTTCTATCGAAGACATCGATCATGTGCAATTATCAGATCTCCTAGAGCATTGTGACTCCAATGCACGAAGCATCGGATGCATGGAACTTTGTGCTTTGATATTGGTTTTGGGTGTCCAAATATCAATTCGAAGATCCTCTTGAGATTTACCATCTTTATTTCTATTTTTTTTCTAGTTCAGGCATCTCAATCTCCAAAATCATGGTGCGAAGCCTTATGATGAATTTAGCAATGAATTTTAAGTTAAATTAGGTTTTAAATTATAGTTTTTTTTTTGGTAAGTAAAAAGTGGTAAGTTAGTGGGGATTTGGGCCTCTACCCTTTGGTGAGAATGGAGTCAGAGACCTCTCCATGGGGTTCGACATAACTACCGTCAAGGCCCCAAGCCATTCTCAAAAGTGGTAAGTCTGTGGGGATTTGGGCCCCTACCCTTTGGTGAGAATGGAGTCAGAGACCTCATCATGGGGCTCGAAAATACTACCGCCAAGGCCCCAGTCCATTCTAAAGTTAGGAGTTACTTAGTCCTGCCTAATCCTAATTCAAGTTGTTTTGGGTTTAGGAAAGATTTTCTTATAATAGATGGTGTTCTAATTTTTAAATTTTCTACAAAGGATAGCAGTTAGCTTCTTTATGTTCTAGTTTCCTAACTTGATGAGGTTATATTAAACTGGTCCTTTTTTGTAAAGTCTTAGTTGAGATTGGGTTTACTTGTAATGAAAGGACGATAAGATTAGTACTCAAGAACTATTATGAGTGTCTATGACCAGACATGCTTAGGTTAATGAAATTGCGTGCTAGCAACTTGAGGTGGTGTTTGTTCTATTTGAGGTGTTGTTGATTTTATTCATCTGGTGGTGATAATTCTGTGAAACCCCGAATCCGTGTGTGGTGCCAATTCAATACTCGGTTCGGTTCTCTCTATATCCGTTCTCCCACAACCCACCTTGATATCTCTCTACATCCCATGCCTTTTCATCCTAGCTCTAATTCTCATCTGTCCCTAACCTTGCTCTTTTTTCCACAACCTCCATCCATCATCAAATACCGAAACACTCACAGGCACACAAGATAACCCTCTTTCATCTTGTTAAACTCATACCCTGATTGATATTGAACCCTAATCAAGAAACAAGCCACCATACTAATCCACAACCCAAGCGCAAACCTTAGACACACATGACTCCTTAATCACCCTAACGTTAGGCCCATAAGGTCTAATGTCCATCCTCTAGACCTACTTATGTGGGATCACCTCTTTGCTCCTATATTAATGCAGATGATAGTTGAATATCACCTTTGCTTAGCGTTCAGCTGCAAGTGGGATTTCACTAAGTAGTGTTTCAAGGTGATTGGTTGTTTTGTGGATAATGTGAAGGACCAGGATGGTCAGATTTCTCTGCCTGTATTGGATGTCAAATTGAAGCAAAATGTATGTGGGAGTACTTATTGTGAACTGAATTGTACCTACTGTCAATGTTTTTTTTTTGGGTAATTCAGTGGGGATGACAAGTTTTTGAAATCGTTGATGGTTTTTAAGTACGTTAGGTGAGAGTGAAAGCCTAGACCTTAGCTTGGGCACAGGTGGTACTACTACCTCCACGACCCCAACCCCCATTCTTACCTACTATCAATGTTACGGTGGACATGTGGGACTTAGTTTGGCATTGCAGCATGGCAATGTTGTGGAGACTTTCTGTCGCTATTAACCATTAAGGGTGACAATGTTAATGCTATTTTCTAGGTTTGGGGCTCGTGCTCATGTTCTGTCATTCATGCTTTGTTTTTACTGCGAACATCACCCGCATATTCAGTGACAACCATCCTACTTCCTTCCAAATAAAAAGAAAAATCCTTTTGAAAGGCTATACGGTAGATACACTATCAATTAATACAGGTCTATGCACTAGATATTAGACATTATATAGAACTATCAAATACTAGACGTCTATGTGGTAGATATTCGACATTGTATAGAGCTATCAAATACTAGAGGTCTATGTAGTAGATATTAGACATTACTTAAGAGTGGCCTTTGTAATGTATTACTGGTCCACTAACAAATTCTTCACCAGGTTTGTGCTTGTGAATTGTACTTTAATTTAAACCCTTGCAATTTCCTTGCATATTTTGCACAGCTTCCTATTTCTTTTAATATAGTTATAAGTAAGAGAACAGAAAGAACTTGTTTTTACCTATTTAGTTGAAGCATGACCATGTTATATGTGGTATGTAGCACATGCTTCTTGATTTTGTTTGTTATCTAAAAAACTGATTGTTTAACGTGTTGAACATCTAGTTTTCTCCATAATTTTGTGGCATATGTTCCTATAAATCTCTGCATACACATGCATGCATACATATATACATATATACATATATACATACATATAGACACACACACATGATAAGTATTCCTCAATGAGATTTATGATCTTGTTGATTGTTACCCTTCTCCCTTTTAGGTACAACTCCATGATTATTGAAGCTCTTTCGGCGATGCGAGATCCACATGGATGTGATATTAATTCTATTGCGTGCTTTATTGAGGTCAGTAAGATTCATATTCGTCTTCATCTATTTTAATTTCTGTCCTGCATTATGCTTATAAAATTTTGGGTGGTGGTGGTGTAATTTATTAAAAAGAAATTATATATTGGTGGTGTACATATACTCAGAACTGTAAATAAAGTTTGCATAGTCAACCCTCATTCAAAAAAAAAAAAAAACACAGATATGAGCCTTTGTTGGAACTTTGGTATTTTGGGCATTGTACTACAATGAGAAGTATTTTGGACAGTCAAAGTACTACATTGATATCTAGCAGTTAAGGCTTTCTGACAAGTCCCTATCCAATGAGAAGACAATCAACGCTATTCTCACACTTGACTGAAATGAGGCCTTCACTATAATTGATCTTGAATTTCAACAGTCCTCTGAAACTTTTAAGAAAGCGGCAATACCATATTTTGTGTAAACTCTTGGTTTTTCTGTGTTCCCTCCAAGACCAGAAATACACGAAAAATAGGATTAAGGATGGTGTTTTCTAATCATAGGGATAATGAAATTATTATGAAAACACCAACCAGGCTACCGACATACCAGGAGCTCCTAAACACAAAAGGGGGGAGATATCTAAAGCGAATTAAAGTGTAAAAGGTACAAAAAGTGTGCTTTTAAGGCCACCCACATACCAGGAGCTCTTGTTGAAGAAATGGCTACAAAATTGGCTACCCACAAACTGGGAGCTCTATTACAGAAATGGTAAAGTTGCCGAGACCAAAACCTGTGTACACCCAGCCTATATGCCATAGGCTATCCTCGAGGGAAGGGGAAGGAAAGAGAGATCAAAGAGAGAAGAGGAAGAGGAAGAGATGAAGAGAGCAGAGAGAGGAGGAAGAGGAGAGTACATGCAGCTTCTGAGGTTGAAAATAAAAGAGGGAGAGAAAAGAAGGAAGAGGAAAAGGAGCAACAAGGGAGAGCTAGGAAGAGAGGGGTAGAGGGAGAGGGGGCGATAGAACTGTAATCAACCTGCTAGCTTGAGACAAACTATGAGAAGGCAAGAAGAGAGGGGGAGGGGGGGGGGGGGGGGGGTGTGAGACGGGCAAGAGAAGGGTGAGGAGGTTCGAGCGATGAACAATGGATAGAGTTAAGAGAGGTAGAAATAGGCATGAAAAAGACATAGGCGGTAGAGGCGAGAAGTACCGTTATGGTGTATTATAATAAAGTTCACCTTTCTTAAAAAAGAAAAAAGAGGTATTGTCGTGTAGAGTGGGACGGCATAATCCACTCGCTACACCACCTATGGCCAACCAATCAGCATTTGTGTTGGCTTCCTACGGAACATGGTAGAAGATGACATCAGTGTTTTTGCATAGCATGTGAATGTGATCAAATGTTTATATTTGTTGTGAGTTACAACTTTGAAATTTACTAGCAGAATTTAACGGGTTGAGACTTCAATAGGTGATAAGATAAGGGAAAGTAGACTTAGGTGGGCTGATCATGTGCAACGTAGACCCAATACAATACCTGTTAGGAGGTGCGATTTGGTTTAGATAGAAGGCTCTAAAAGGGCAAGGGGAAGGTCAAAAGGGATATGGATAGAAGTAGTGATAAAAGATATGGGGACTTATGGTCTTACTGAGGGTATGGCTCTTGCTAGATCAGAATCGGAGATTAGGATTTGTGTAACCAAACCCAAATAGTTGGGATAAGGCTCTGATGATGATGATGAATTTATCGGGGTTGACTTTTTCTAGCAGTCGCAAGAAATTTTAGTTGGTATGGTTGTTGCTACAACATTTTCTAGAAAGTCAGCTTCAAAAAAAAAAAAAGCATTTCTAGAAAGTCATTCTTCGAATTTGTACTACTTGTCTGCATTGTTTTGTTTTGGCACCTTGGCTAGATTGGTGGCATTTCAATTCAAAACGGTGTTTTTCAGGGCTTTGCTACCTCATGGGATCTGATTTCATTAAGACATCATATTATTAACAAATACATACTTTACTACGTAATCTTCATGATTCTTTTAAATGATCTTAACCGATCCCTGTGACTCTCTGAGGCTTTTTATGCTGTTGCTAATGTTGTAATGTTGCCTATTTTGCTAAAATTGTCTATAGAAAAGCTTAAAAGCCACAATTAAGATTTTGGTTGAGTTCAATTCTAATTTGATATCCTTGACGGTGGTTCAAAGTTCAAGTTAAAAACAATTGCCATATAAATAGGGTCTAAGAAACCAATTCCAAAACCAATTCGGTTGGTGGCTTGATAAAATTATCAACATCTCACTAGTGGTTTGATGAGAAGCCATCCATGTGTCTATATTACCATGCCCCATAAAAAGTACTAAGTCCTTTCTTATGATCACATAGCCAAATATAGTTTATTATTTTCTAGGTATTCAATATTTTTGTGCTTCTGTAAAATATCCTGCTTTTCTTTCCTTTACTTCTTTTATCTTGTATAGTTTTGTGGAGTGCACCTTTTAGCCTTGGAATGGGTTTTAACCTTGGAATGGGTGAACATATCTCTCTCTCTCTTCCTTTCTGCATCTCTCATCCCCCTGCCCCACTCTCTCTCTACCCACTGAGAATCCCTTCATGGTTTCTTTCTTTCCCCATCATCTGCTTCCTCTTCTTGTCGCTTCTCTCCTTCCCCTTTCTCCCAAGTCTCTCTCTCTTCATCCAACTCTCTTCGCCTCTGATTCCCCCCCCCCTTCCCCCCCCTCCTCCTCTTTTGAGGTTTTTTCTTGTTCATACTTGCATTTTTGTACTAGAGCACCGTTTATGGGATGCCATCTCACCTCTCGTGGGGAAAAACTTGTAACTTATTTTGTTTTAGTAATATATTGTCACCAATTTCAGAAAGAAAAAGTTTAAAATGCTCCATGAAACCAACCACCTGTTGTCCTCTGGCACCCCTAGTGTGTAATAGAAAGTTGTGCAGTTGGCCCGAAGAGAAGATATCTGTCTCATGCTGGAAGAAAGCCGTTAGGCCCTTTCTAAATGAAATACTTTTCTTTTTTTTTTGAGAAAGTTAAACATTTGTATTGCTGTATGGTGTTAGAGTACCTTAAAAGGGGAAAAGCCAAGAGTACCCACAAGTTGGGTCTCTTGGTCAAAAAATAGGTCAAGAGACGCTGTACAAAAAATGGCCTTTAAACCTGCCTGATTACAAAAGATGTACTTGTGCATTACAAAAAATTGGGGCTTATAGAGTTGCCTGATTAGAAGATCTGTAGATGTGTGTAACTAAGTGCCTAAACACCCTCTATGGTCCAGAGCAAAAAAGGAGATGGACTAGGCGGGGTCTTCAGCATGGGCTCTAGCTCCGTCTTTTGCAAGAAGATCGGCAAACGTGTTGGACGTGTGCCAAATATGATTGCATAAGATGTTCTTATCCCTGCATACGTTAGCAATCTCATCAAAAATCGAAGAGAGGTACCAAGGGTGTGGTGAAGTGCCTGCTGCCCACGAGATGATATTTTGGGTATCTCCTTCCACCAGTAGTTGTGAGCCTCAAGAAAGGTTAAAATATTTATGACCCATGAGAAGAGCCATGGCTTCAGCGTACTGGGAGTCTTCATGGCCCAAGTGTTGAGAATAAGTGAAGATAATATTGCGATGATGGTTGCAAAAAATACCTCCGGCTCCAACAGGGCCAGGGTACTCCAGCGAACAACCATCGAAATTGAGCTTAATGGCACCTTCTGGAGTAGGCAGCCAGTTGTTGGGTCTTTGAAGCTTATGTGACTGGAGATATAGGATATTGTCCCATTGGCTGAGAAAGGTGTTAGCAGAAATCCCCGAGAAGGCCTTGTGGTTAGTGGCCCAGAAAGTTACTAGGGTAGTAACGTTATGGAAGAGCACCGAAACTATGTTTTTGTGACCTTGGAAGACCCTCACGTTCCTTTCTAACCAAATGACCCAAATAGTTGCTGCGATGGCAGCCTTCCACAGTACTCTATTGGCCTTCGACCAATGATAAGCGTAGTAGGATGTGATTAGAGCCTTGACCGAGGGTGGAGTTGTTGGTGGTATAAGACCAATGGGTTAGAAATGCAATCTTTTAAAAATTTTCCATTGTATAAAAACTCAAGGGTTTAATGCATGAATATCTCAATACAAAACCATAATATATATATTCCAGCCTACAAAAATGGTTTATATACATTTAAATAATAAAATTCAACTCTAATAGGTCTCTTATAAATCCCTTACTCAAAAATTCAATTAAACTGAATACAATATTCAAATATTCACATTGTACATCTCTACAACATATTGTATGACTTGCCCTCGCAATTCCTCATTATACCAAATTATATGATAATTTCATCTTCATTCTTCATCCTCGTCATATATTATAATATCTCATACACATCATACATTTGATCATAACCGCTCCTCCCGACCTCATGACCGGTTAACTGTTCCGGTTCGATTTTGCGAACATTGGGTCAAAAGCTAGACTACCGTGAATGAAAAGGTGTGGATTCGATTCTTCCTCACTCATGCACATTGCACATTTGTTGGGGATGAAAATTCCTCTCTTTTGAAGCTGGTCAACTGTGAGAGCCCTTTGAGAACATGCAATCCTGTTGAAAGTCTGTACTTTTGGAGGAGCTATGGTGGACTAGACCTTGGAAAGGACAGAAATAGGGTTAAGTGGGAAGGTGGGGGTTTGAATGAGTCTTTTGTAGAATGAGGCCATTGAGAATGTACCGAATGCAGTAAGGGTCCAGACTAGAGAGTCCCTCCCAAGTGGAGCTAGGAAGTAGGGGTGCAAAGCTGCCGAAAGTGAGAGGAAGAGTCTAGTTTTCTATTCAGTGAGGTTTCTTCTGAAAGAGGGGTTCCAGACTCTTCGGCCCCCTGAAAGGACCATTTCTTTTGCTATGGTTGAGTCTTGATTTGAGGTAAGATGATAAAGGGATGGGAAGAGGTCCGTTAGAGGAGTGTGTCCTATCCAAAGGTTGGACAAAAAACACACTCTTGTACCTTCTCTAGGATGAAATCAGATGGCTTGTTTGAACAATGAGAGAGAGG